TTCGGTTAGAAGCTAAATTTGCAAATTTTGTTTGATTACAAATAACGAAATTGTATGCTTTTTAAGTCATCACGAAGAGTTAAAAAGTTCCGTGACCAAAAAAAAAAAATGAAGAGTTAAAAAAAGTTCTGTATTAAGCAAATATTATTATATGAAACGTTATAACAAATGGTACATTCACTATTCTAATTTAATCAACTAGAAATTATATTCATACACATTGTGATGAGTACTCTTAATCTTGAAGTTGCAACAATCTGTACAGAGAAATTCCCTAATTTTCATCCACAATCACCATACCTCTTCTTCGTACCGGTAAAAGCTTTCAAGATTAGTGAGTAAGTTAGAGCTGTAATGCCAAATCCGGATGCTGCGATGAACCTGCCTGAAGGTTAGAGACTGGTGAGTTTGGTGAGATGAGCTTAGCGTTGAGATCAGGTGGAAACCGGTTAAATTCTTGTTTTATGTTAGGCAACAAGCCTTGCATCTCGTTTGATCCGCTGAGAGCTCGGACTAGACCATTTCTCTCGGTTTCTTGATTCAGCAAGCGAGCAGCTGGTGCAGACTCTTTGCTTTCATGGGAAGTAGTATGTTTGTTTCCTATGATAGAGCTTGAGACAGAGGTGGTCAAAGACATGATTCTGTTTGAATGATGATGATCATCGGATGCCAAGTCATTCGAACACTTTTGCGTCCCCGATATTAGAGGAGGAGCTTCTGGATTCTCTCCAACCCATCCGGGACCAAATTCGGTTCCAGTTGGTAACACAGTTTCAATCCTCTTATCGGCGAATCGCCAAGCAACGGGACCAAGATTTGCTGCATATCGCGCTAGACTCCTTGCGTAACCATATTCAGTTTTCAACCCAACCTGGTAAACACACAGAAACAACAGTCAGATTCTTTGTTTACTAAAACAAAAAGAGAGATGTTTTCTTTTTAACTCGCTACCACGTACTGGTGTTAACTGCTTTAAATCATCATCAAGTGTTGTAAATACTGAAGCTTCTCGCAACGAAGTAGAGATCTCGTTGTAGGTATCTCGTTTGTTCTCATCGACATTCTTCATCCCGTATTTATTGACAGCCTTCACAACCGAAGCTACAGAAAAATGGTTTATGTTAACAAAAACCTCGTACTTGCAAAAAGAGTGTTAGGAAGGTTGTATTAGAAAAGGCAGAGCTTTACGTGGAAACTCCTTCTCCCAATCAATCAAGAAGCCACTTTGGTTCTCGCTACTATAGTTGATTCTAACCGAAGTTTCTGCTTGTCGGAATCTATAAGAAGGAGGCGTTTTTCTTAGATTGTAAGCACCGGAAAATCTAGATATATCTCCACCAGGAATGTGTGCTGCTGCTACATCAGCTGAAATTTCAGAGGTAGTACGGTCAATCAAAGTTGATGGCTCAGGCTGTTTCTTATGGCCCGTGCCTGGAGGACGGCCTCTTTTGACAACTTTCGGTTGTTGTGACAGTGACACTGGCTCTTCTTCATCACTTTCTTGTCTTAAATTTCCAAAATCCTTTTTAGCTATCTCAAGCATAGCTCGTGCCTGTTTATAGCCAAAGACAAAAATCAGCAAAAATGAATAATAACAAAAGGATCAAAAAAGAGTGGCAAAATTGTATAATCAAAAGACAAACCTGTCGATGATATACTGTATCTGCTGAATTGTACTCCATTGCGTTCGTACATATTAAAAACACGTCTTCCTGCAAAAGATGAGACGGGATCAGAGTTATCTACATAGTTCCAGTAGCCATAACAAATTTTTTAGACGCCACCAGTTTTTCAATTTTAACATTATGTCTGCACTCTCTCATGATAACACACTCTAACTACCTGGAGAATACAATGTTTTCACACTGTTTAGCAGTAAAATTAAGAAAGCCCCAAACCTCATAAGATCGTTCCCCCACTTATCGAAACAAGATAGAATGACAAAATAACAACTTGCAATCAATGCTTGTCAGCAAACACGATGCTGTTGCTGCTCGAGAAACTATTGAATGAGACTAAGAATGTGAAGAATCAATTGGCAAGCATCAAACTAAGATAAGGAAAAGACTCCATTTTAGTGATGTATCTATAAACAGCCAAGTGGTAGTTTTCAGTGAGAAGCATAGTGAAAGATTCAAGCACAAGACTTGCCTCAAATTGTTCCAAAGTAGCGTATGCACCGGATTCTAGTTTCTTCCGCAATGTACTGAAATCCATCGGATTCTTGATAATCTCATGATAATCAGGAAGCTGTAGAAAAACTTTCACACAAAATAAGATGAAATACAAAAAAATGAAGTAGTTATTAACACCATAAACAAGATTAACAACAAAGAACACTTTTCACCTCCTCTGGATCAGCTGGGTCAGAGTACACACCATAAGTATCCTTCCTTCAAGTATTGTAAAAAAAACAAACATCAAATCAACAAACCAAACCCAGAATTCTAATCACTTTCATCCAAATTACAAAAAAAAGGAACATACTTTTGAACTCTATCGAGAATGAACAAGAGCAACTTTTTGTCTGGCAATGGTGTAACGGGCCCAGACTCCGACTCTGTCCACAAGTAAAATACCCACCAAAATTATGTTTGATTAATCAGCTAAAAGATTTCACTTCTATTCTTACACGAATACCAGAAAAAGATATATACTTTGAAGAATGTGTGTCGTTTTCGAAGCCTTTTGTCCCTGCAGGAAAAACCAAGAGATATATATATTCATCAACCTCAAGTCAAAACCCTAAAGATAATACTCTTTCATGTTCATGGAAGAATCAAAAAGAAGAGACAGTAATAAAAAGTACACAAACTTAAAGAAAACTAAAAGACAAATTATAGAAACTTGTCTCTCAGACATGAATGATTGTCTCTCTTCTTCACTGCAGCAGAACCATCTTTAATTCATATTCTTACCAGAATAAAATATAATAATTATTCAAAACAAAAAAAAAAGAAAGATTAAACCTGAAATTAGCACACATTTTGCCAAGACAAAAAAGGGTAAAACAAAACAAAAAAGCTGAAATTTATGAAATTCACATTTCCCACCAACAACAAAAAGAAAAAATGAAATAGTCAAGTCAATAACACATCACTCACTCAAAAAACAAGAGGAAAAAACCCCAATTAACGCGCGAAAATCTCAACAATTTTAACTACCCTAAATTAACAATTTTTTTTTACCAAAAGAAACAATTTTTATCTTCCCCAAATGCAAAAAAAGCTTGAATTTTTCCGACTCTATATAACTACCGTATCGTCAGATCCACGAATTTTCCGTGGCGATGCATCGGAGTTAAGACGGTCTTCGTGAGAGTTTAATCCGTGTAAAAGCCGGTGCTTTTTGTCTCTCCGCTCATCATCGTCGTCGGAATTAGAGCTCCGGCGATTCGATCGGGTACCGGAATTCGGACCTGGGTCGAGAGAATTAGGGTTTTTGAAATCGGATCTAAGCTCTATCTTGGGCTCAACTAGCAATTGTTGCTGTTTCAGAGCTCGTTTCTGTAAATCAATTAGAGATGG